CTCATTTGTGCCAGTCTGAATGGGAGACTTCTGTAGTGCAGTTCTGAGCTGGTGACTTCAGTTAGTGCCAGTCTGAGCTGGGAGACTTCAGTAGTGCCAGTTTGAAGCGGAGATTCAGTTAGTGCCTCTGTCTGAGCAGCTGGGAGAGAGACTTCAGTAGTGCCAGTCTGAGCTGGGACTCAGAGGACTTCAGTTAGTGTCAGTCTGAGCTGGGAGACTTCAATAGTGTCAGTTGAGTGGAGACTTCGTAGTGTCAGTCTGAGCTGGGAGACATCAGTAGAAAACATGTCAAGTCTGAGCTGGGAGACTTCAGTAGGTGTCAGTCTGAGCTGGGGAGATTCAATAGTGTCTAGTATGTGTGGGAGACTTCACGTAGTGTTCAGTTGAGTGGGAGGACTTCGTAGTGTCAGTCTGAGCTGGGAGACTTCAGTAGTGTCAGTCCGAGCTGCGAGACTTCAGTTGTGTCAGTCGGAGCTGGGAGATTCAGTTGTGTCAGTCTGGTGGGAGACTTCAGTAGTGTCAGTCTGCAGCTGGGGACTTCAGTAGTGTGAGTCTGAGCTGGCCAGACTTCAGTTAGTGTCAGTCTGAGCTTGGGAGATTCAGTTTGTGTCAGTCTGAAGCTGGGAGACTTCCAGTAGAGCAAGTATGAGCTGGCAGAATTCGTAGTGTTCAGTTCTGAGTGGGAGACTTCAGTAGTGTCAGTCTGAGCTGGAAGGACTTCAGTTAGTGTCAGTCTGAGCTGGACGATTCAGTAGTGCCAGTCTGAGTGGCAGATTCAGTAGTGTCAGTCTGAGCTGGGGGAGACGTCCCGTAGTGCCAGTCTGAGCTGGGAGACTTCAGTAGTGTCAGTCTGAGCTGGCGAGAAGAACTTCTGTAGTGTCAGTTGAGCTGGGAAGACTTCTATAGTGTCAGTCCGATGCTGCGAGGACTTCAGTAGTGTCTGTCTGAGATGGAGACTTCAGTTGTGTCAGTCTGAGCTGGGAGGAGACTTCAATTGTGTCAGTCTGGCTGGGAGACTTAGTAGTGTCAGTATGGCTGGGAGACTTCAGTAGTGTCAGTCTGAGCTGGCAGACTTAGTAGTGTCAGGTCTGAGCTGCGGAGACTTCAGTAGTGCCAGTCTGAGTCTGGGAGAGAGACTTCAGTGTGCCAGTCTGAGCTGGGGGACATCAGTAGTGCCAGTCTTGAGCTGGAGACTTCAGTAGTGCCAGTCTGAGTGGAGACTTCAGTAGTGCCAGTTGAGCTGGGAGACTTCAGTATAGTGCCAGTCTGAGATGGAGAGACTCAGTAGTGCCAGTTTGAGCTGGGAGACTTCTAGTACGTGCCAGTTGAGCTGGAGACTCAGTAGTGCCAGTCTGAGTCTGGGAGACTTCAGTAGTGCCAGTCTGAGCTGGGAGACTTCAGTAGTGCCAGTCTGAGCTGGGAGACTTCAGTAGGTGTCAGTCTGAGCTGGGAGACTTCAGATAGTGTCGAGTCTGGCTGGGAGACTTCAGTAGGTAGTCAGTCTGAGCTGGGAGACTTCTGTAGTGTCAGTCTGAGCTGGGAGACTTCAGTAGTGTCAGTCTGGAGCTGGCACAGACTTCAGTAGTGTCGGTTGAAGCCTGGAGACTTCAGTAAGACGGTGAGGATAACAGTTAGTGCGTCCACGGTTAGTTCAGAAGATATGAGAGAAGAGAAAGAAGAAGAAGAAGAAGAAGAAGTAGAAGAAGAGAGAAAGAAGAAGATGCAGAGAAGAGAAGAAAGAATACAAAAGATTGAAAAGATGAATTGTTAACAGAAAACATGATATTAAAATTTTTGGAAATAAGATTTTAAAGTGCAACAGAAGAGGGAGGGGGGGAAGGGGAGGAGGAGGAAAGGAGGAGGAGGGGGAAAGGAGGAAGAGGAGGAGGAGGAAGAGTAGGAGGGGAGGAAGGGAGGGGAGGAGGAAGAGGAGGAGGAGGAGGAAGAGAAGGAGGAGGGGTGGGGGGGGGGGGAAGAGGAAGAAAAGGAGGGGGAGGTAGAGGAGGAGGAGGAAGAGAAGGAGGGGGAAGGGGAGGGGGGAGGGGGGAAGGGGAAGAAAAAGGGGGGGAGGAGGGGGAAAGGGGGGGAGGAGGAAGAGGTGCGGGGGAGAGTAGTGTGATGGATCCACAACGGGGAAAAAAAGGGGAAAAGTGAGGGAGTGCGTGTTTCAAGGTAAAGTGGGAAAAATGAAGCGGGGGAGCTGTGTGGGGAGATGTGAGGTGAGTGAGGGGGATGTGTGAGTGAGGGGTTGATGGGGTAAAAATAGTGAGGGAGATGATGGGTGAGTGAGGGGATGATGGGGGGAGTGAGGGAGATGAGAGGTGAGTGAGGGGAGATGAAGTGGTGAGGGAGGATGAGGTGATTGAGGGGTGATGAGGTAAAGTGGGGGAGATGATGAGGGGTGAGGGGATGATGGGTGAGGGGGAGATGATGAGGTGAGTAGGGAGTGATGGGTGAGTGGGGGGAAAGGATGAGGGGGTGGGGAGATGATGAGGTGGTGAGGGAGAGATGAGGGAGTGGGGGAGTGATGAGGTGAGTAAAGGGATGTGAGGTGGTAGGAAGTGTG